TTGCGTATTCCATTTACAAAGGCAGCTACTGGAAACTGGACTGTAGACTGGATCACCCGACGAATATTTAAAATTAGCCAGAGGCGACGTGCTATTTCGGCTCACCGAGAAAGCACCGCGCGAGCACGAGCTTGTGTGTGCGTGTTTATATTTTACTCCGACATGTAGTAATGTCGCGGAGACCAACCTGGGTATTCCAGCTTGAAACCAGGGCGCCTTGCGTAGCTCGGCCTCCTCACTTCGATTATTCAGGCTGTCTGTTCTCTCGGGCAAAGGCGGCGGGGTTGGCGTGGAGCCATGAGTGCTTCCGTCAGCGGGTACCGAGCTGCTCGACGTGCTAATTTGCGATCTTCTTTTCGACTTGAATTCCGCCTCCGTACCCGAGTCCGGGCAATTGTGCCCTATCCTGGAAATGAAAGAGCTGTCGTTCACGATTCGTACCGATCCCTCGTCGCTACCGAGAAGGCGAGAGAGAGAGAGAGAGAGAGGCAGAAGGAGGGAGAAAAATGGAGAACGGTCCGGCTATAAACTTACCTGTTGTTCTCGATGTTGAAATTCTTCACGTTAGTGATGGACGCGTTGATGGTGTTATCGAGGCTCTCGGACGGTGGGATCTTGTTGTACGATGGCCTCGTACCCTCCGAGTCGATGATCGCCTCGTTTATGTAGCCTCCGGAATGGGGTCTGTTCGATGGGCTGGTCGGCGTACTGCTACCGCTGACGAGCGGGCAGCTGTCATCCTCACCGTTCAACCCAAGAACGTCGCGTCCACCTGTCAAACCCATCGCCAGCCGCTTTATCAGCGGCGGCTTGTCCGTTAGCCTCTTGTATGAGTTCAACTCCGTTGGCGAGTTGCTCTCATCGCTGCTCGGCGTGCTCTGTTGGGACAAGCTCTTTGGCTCGTCCACATTCGTTATGGGACCGAGAACGTTCGTAAACGACGGCCGTAGACCTGGGATCGTGTTTGGTGCCTGGAATTATTCGGATTCGTCGTTTAAGCGCGACCAAGCGTTTCACTTGTCGAGGTAAACGTGTTCTGCAAACGCGTCACGCGAGAAATGGATGGAGCCGCGATATTAAAAGAGATACTACGTGTCGCCTAGTCGGGATGACGCGGCGTTCTACGAAGTTAATTTACTCTAAGTTGCTGCCAGGCTGGCTAATTCGCTTTCGCGTAATAGCGCCCGAGTGTAATATAATAGCGGCCGCAACTCCGCCGACGGTGGATTTGTTACACTTGTATGAAATCACCTTTACGCTGGCGAGTCGCAGCGTGGGCGAGCCGGCGCTGCCGAGCTGCACGTTCATATCCGCTGCAGACGGACCCCTTCCAATCTTGGAGGTGGGCGACGTCCGACTTTTCAGCCACGAGTTCGACGACGGACTCCTGCAAGCGCCCGCGGCGATCGTGTCGTCTCCGGGCAGCGATTTGTTCTGCAAACGAAACGGCGGGTCATTGCCAAAATTACATCCCCCGTCGCGACACCGTGTACTTAAAGAGGACCTCCGATTATTTCCTCAAGATCGGAGGTTCCTCTCCAATGCGCAATCATTGCCTTAAATCGGCGGATCCGAGGGCTCGGTCTCTCTTGGACGAATCGTTGATTAGGCAGAAACGTCGGAACGATTCGGTCTCTTCGAGGTTCTCCCGGGTTGAATATTTAATCGGCGGAATCACACAGTTCCTAAGGCGATTTTGCGGCGGGGACCATCGAGCGGACCGTGGCGGACTGACCGTTTACTTGGAAACGCGAGGCGACGCAAGGCGACGCAAGGCGACGCGAGACGGTAAGCGAGAGACTTGGGTCGAATTTATAATTAACGCGGCTCGTAAACGGGACACCTACTGGAATCGGTGGCCCTCGTGAGACGGAGAGGACACGGTTGTCGTCGTTGTCCCTTTCGTCTCGCGCTTCTTGGATATTTAAGAGGCTCTTCCGCGAGCTTCTCCAGCAGCTTCCTTACTGCTGCCGTACGTGTATATGCGTCCCGGTACGTGTATTTGCTCTGCTTCCTGGCATATAGCAGTCGCTACCATCTGCTCCAATAGCCTCCAGAATATTGTGCTTGCGCGGCAGGAAAAAAGAATTCGATCGTACGACTTGGACAAATAATCTTACAGTGATTTCGACTCATTTTGTAAGAAAAGTTTTAGACGAAAAGTTATAATGATCGCGGCGATTGAGTCGTTCTTTGTTATCCGTTTCCCGGATAATTAAAGTACATCTTTTGAATTTCACTTTCTACATGTCTCTATTTGTTTTGTTTGGCAAAATAAATTGCTGCGATAGAACTCAACAAGCGTAATCTTTAAGAAGATCTCGGAACTGACTGTCCGCTAATTGCTAAAACTACTTAATTGCAATCTACGGTGCTTTTGTGAGAAAACTAGCAGATGGCACGATACCGAACCGGCCTGTAAAGTTTAACTCAACTAACTCGCTAGCTGACAGCGGCAAAAATAAATGACTTCGTTAGCACTTTAAACTACACGGTGCTCCTTTTATTTGCCAGCAAAGTGCGCTGGTAACAATTCTTTTGTGTCTCGCGTAATTTGCATTTTTTCGGTCGTTTAGTCAAATGGATCGGATCTATTATTTCGATACGTTTAAAACATACCCACGACGTTCGATGCTCCTGCTTGTCCTTGCGATAAGACGGTGTCGATCGTGATGAGATTACATCCTGAAGGATCGGTTGGCGCTGAAGCTGCGCCACGTACGCCATGCGGAAAGCATTGCCAACGATGGTGTTCAACTCCTCCGCCTGCAAGCAGACAGGAAAGCTCGAGTTCCGACACAAATTTTATTAAACACAGCATTTTGCTGTTTCTTTCGTAATATTACCGTTGCAATCCGATTGTGGCCGCGAACGTAGTTCGTTTCTTTCAGTTTAATTACAAAGAATATTTCCGTATTTGTGCTCCACGAAATGAATTAATTATACGTAATTGATTCTTTTGAAAAAAAAAAAAAAATACGCAAATTACATACAAGATATTTATGATTAAAACTTTACTGAGCATAATTGGATATTTCACGTGGCATGAAATATATTGTTCAAAGAATAACTTTTTTCGAGCGGAAGAATGAAAGCAATCATTTCCCGTAATTTTAGCGCTGAATTATGATTCCATTTATCAAATAAATTACCATAAACAGCATTGCATTCAGCGTCTAAAAATTGTGAGAAATGATTATTTTCATTCTTATGCATTTTTTAAAATAATGATAATTTGTAAGACAGTCGAAAAAGTTTGAAATATATTTTTTTCTGGACCATTAAACTCTTCTGCATTTTCTGAACTAAAAAAAGAAGAATACTATTCAAATTAGTGCTATAATCATACTGTCGAAAGCTCTGTATAAAAAAGAAAAGAAAACCGTATTGCTCGCGTCGTCGAGCAACATTATAAGTAAACTTTAATGCAAGCCTAGAAAAATTTACGTTGCACAAAAATAATACATCGTCGGGTTAATTAGATTTTTCCGGATCTACCGGTGGCGGAGGAGAAACGCGTAGCCGACCGTACGTTGAAGAGCAGAGACGCTGCCGCAGCGCAAAAGCGGAGTCTGAATGTGTAATAAGCACTCGCGGAGAGCCGCAAGCTTTCGGGGTTCGACTTCGCTCGTGTACGCGTTTAGAAACCTCCTGAGTGCATACGCTTCGCGTTTGTACGGAAACCAGATGCAGATGGATTGCATGTGGGCGCACGTACGTTACAAGCGGTCACGCAGACGTACATATACAGCCAGAAATGGGGAAAAGGTCGGCGAGGGATATCTTTCTCCTTTCGGAAAGCTTCACCGCTGAAAGCCGCGACGCGATGCGTATTAATGAACACCGGGTCGACCGAAGGGCTAAGAGTTTAAAGAGAAGCATTGTACGCACACGGAGACGAAAGTGGCGATTAACGTCTCGTCCGTCTGACTTTTCCTTTCACGATGCAAACCATGGCGAAACCGTTTGGGGAGATATTCAATCGTTTCGCAGGGGTATCTATGTACATCTCGGATTCTAGCCTCGCATACTTCGCCTATGTAGTACTTCGTCTATGTATCCCCGTGACATTGTTACGACATTGTTGCAAGCGATGCGGAAATCCCGGCTTTGCTTCAGTGTGCCCCGTAAAGCAAGGAAATACGGCTCGCCAGTGGAATCCGCGTACGAGCGACGAAAATACAAAAAACGAGAGATAGGATTGCAAAGCCGAACGTATCGCGCTGTATTTTCCAATGACGCTACACATTGGTTTGCACGAGCTTTCCACCGCCCGCCTGCGTTGCTACAGAAGCCTACTGTAGAGGTGCAACGCTTGGATCAGCCATTTGGCACGTAGAAAGGCGAAGCGAAAGAAATAATGCAAGAAAGTAATGCGTTTTAATGAATACGCACTCGTGCAGGACAACGGCGCGGCAACGGTTGAACTTTTGAATTAAAACGCGCAGCAATGCTCGCTCGAATAATTTCATGGTTTGTGGTTTGAGGTCAGGTCGAATGATTCCACTAGTTACGAGATATTTCAATTACGTTTGTGCGGGGTAAAGCGATGACTTGAGCTATAATTGCGTACCGGACGCACGGCTGCTCTGCAACTCGCTAAGTCATATCCGAGCGCTCTCTTCCGTTGTTCCATAAGTGCTATACGAATCTCCATTTTAGTATAAATGCATTGGGTTCGCCACACTATGGATGTACAGAAAATTTTCCTTTTGAGAGTTGTGAAGAGATACAATAACACTTATTTTAAGTAATCCCCAATCGCTCAATATTATTGTACAATTATTTCGAACAATATTATTGATGCCCACTTTAAATTGAAAACAAACAAGTTTGACGATGTAGACAATCAATAATATCGTGTAGTAACAAATATTGTACAATAATGTTGATCGCTCAAGAGTCGTTTTAGAGATCAAATGTATCGAATTTGAATAATTTTTAATCATTTCTATAGGTCGCCAATATGTTAATTTAACTAAAACAATTTAATTTAAAAATGTATCAAATCTCATTAAAATTTAATTTATTATTTACTAAGTGTGTACGTTAATATGAATATTGTTTATTTTTAAACTAAACGATTCAATCACAGAAATGAATTAATTTACATTCTGACATACATCATGGAAATTAAAAAAACCAAAACATTACTTAAGAGATTTACTTAAGGTTATCATTGCTCATTTGATATTTAACAGTGTATTTTATAAAAATAAGAGATCACTTGAGACATATTGGTGCAACCTAAGTTATTTGTGATATATCGATTAAATAATTTTTCTTTCATCGTCTGGGAAAAAGGAAATTGCGTATTCACATATCTGTTACTTTAATGATGCAAACAGATTATTCGCAACTGTTTCAGTTGTTGGATTTGAAATTTAAAACATGGTAGAGTCCATGCATTCAATCTACTCTATTTAACTTCTTTCAGCAATTCTTGCTACTTTTATTAGGCGCGTATATTTGTGCATCAAGCATCAAGATGCAAAACGGCAGATATTATCAATGAAGTAGCGCACCGCGTTTCACAACGTGAGAAAATCTGAGGACTAATTTATCGCAGGAAAGAACACGTTCCTGCCATCAACGGTACATTTCGCAGAAATCGTGAAGAAAACCATCCAAGCAATGGAAGCTCGCTTGCTCACCACGAAGAGCAAAGGATCGTGTCATAGAGGAGAATTTATCGCGTCGTGGGCGGAACGCTGGACACGGGCTGGATCCCTCGACTTCGACCCTCCTCCTCCGTTCCCGTGGCCGAGAATCGAAAATACGGCCCTGAGATTCCCGCCCCGAGGTGGAATTTAAGCGCGATGAAATCATCACCGGCGACTCTTCTTCCTCTCCGCTCTACCCTATCCTGGACGTTGACTCGAGCAGGCACTGACCCTCTTCACCGCATTTTGATTCAGGTCCATTTGATCGATCGCGGTGATCGTACCGCTGTTACCACGGTAAATCGCGACACTCTGCACTTTCTGGAATCGCAGACAGAAGGTTTCCGTCAGCGAAAATTCTCAAGATGAAGTATCGAACCAAAAAGAGACATCGACTCCGTGGATCAAACGTCGCGTGGTAAAACGTTACGCGGATTTAAAGAAAGAAGAAAAGGAAGAAAAAAAAGGCACGACTTCGAAAGAGCTATTTTAGCTTGCTTGAGCACAGACTGATTCGCTGTTTGCGCCGGTGGCTTCGGCAAAAAAACGAGAGACACCGGAATCGAATGGGAAGGGAACCGAAAGGGCGATGGATCGCGCCGTGGCTTTGCGCCGGTGCAGCGTGACGGGCTACATTCCAGGCATTCCGCGCGGTCACGGCCATATCTCCAGCTCCTCTAGATTTCCCGTCCCGCATACACCCGGTCTACCAACACCATCCTGCGGTACACAAGCCGGTACTCGCAATAATGGCGCTCGGATGGGGACCGGCCCTCTCGTCGCACCTCTGAATTTCCCTCGCTTCGGTTTCTGGTTTACCTCGACGTCGCGATGCTCTACCCTCCGGGTGTAAATAGCTGGCGGGAAAAATTGTAGAGTACGAAGTAAACGGACCTTCCTTGTCGCGCGTTATTATTGTGCCGCACGAAGCAATGCCGACTCAACCATCTTGATACTATCGCTTCGCTACCAACGCCACATAGTCATCAGACTATGTTCAGGAGAAAAAGAAGACTTTATAACTATTGTAAGATCCTTTAATATCATTGGTTTTTGCTCTTAATTCCTCGCTGGATCTAAATATAATACGAGCCAATCATATTAAAGAATTTTACAACAGTTTCAAAGCTGCTTTTCTGCTGAACTTAGCAATTGATGGCTCAACCATGCTTTTACATTCACATTATTATCCTAATTTTTTTTCTTTCTTTAATAGCAATGTACTAATAAAATTGATATCGTAATAATTACGCTTCTTTCATCTATTTAATTGCGTTCTTCCGATCTGTTCTGCGCGGATGCTGTAGGGCTTGCAACTGTACTCGCTGAAGATGACAACAAATACAAATTTGTGACAACCCCGCTGTGATATATCGTTCCCACAAACGTTAGTTAAAGTTAACAGAAGTTTAACTAGTTCTCTCTGTCATTTTCAATCTGTGTTTGTTTGAGAGAGAAAGGAGATCATGTGCTCAAGGACTGTCAAACTCGTGCGATCGACGAATCAGGTTGAAACAAGCATGAACAAGTTCTGCCTTCGGTGTTATGGACTTCTGCTTATGACAGGCACGGTAGTTTCGAATGTCAAATATTCAAGTTGCACCCTTACACGCCGTTATACCGATACTACCGGACTTGTGCGTTAGACTCGTTGACGTATAATTGTTACGACGTTCGAAGCGATTATTTAATGATACCAGAATTTACTCCGGAAATTGAATTAGAATATATTTCAGAGAAGAATACTCTTTTTATTTTTTTTTAAAGAACGAATTCACATTCGCATGATAATGAAGATGCAAACGTACCACTTATCTTCCCTTGATTGTATTCATGAAGATCAAGAATCAATCGTTTCTGCGAAAAGAAATTATCATTCAAATAACAGACTGCGGAAGGAGATGGAATGTGGATACATTAATAAATACATATTAATCGATGTGAACGAAACAGAATAAAAGAATATTTCGACATTTAGTGCGAGAGATCTCTTATGCCAAAAATTATTATTAATAAAATTAATAGTAATATAAAATATAAAATTAATAATTTTTGTAGATTTTATACAGTTTGCTTTTGTTTTTAACTCACGTGCTAATTAAT